TGTAGCGAGGGGTACCTCCAGGCCTGTGGTTTTTGTTGTGTTGATACTACTTGAATAGCATGGAAGGCAGACATCATAACACAGCTGTTCTGGTGTTTGCTCGCCACTCTTGCCCCCTCGTGTGTTTTCAGATGCATTCAGCTTTTGGTAGAATTGTGCGGCATAGTGAAAAATGGTGTACGCATTGGAATCAATTGGCTGGTCAGGGTCAAAAGGGATGTGCCACTGCTGAGACCTTTTTTTTTTTTTTTTTGTGAAATTATTTTGCCTTGAATTGCCTGCCTTTTGTTTTTGCTTTTTCTGAAAGATCGCCTTTGCCAGTGGCCTGGTGCTGTCCTGCCTTTTCGTACTGCGTAGGAATGATCTACAGGTGCTTGCAAATTGTCCAACACTGAAGCCAACTTTCATGACTATTACATGCGGGTTCGACACTAAAGGAACAGAGGGACCAAGGCTCCAATCCATTTGTGGGAAGCAGCAGGTGCTGGGAATCGGGCCCAACATCCCATTTGAAATTTGTACAGATTGTTGTTCGTCTGGCTGGTGGTGTTTCTTTAATTCTGGAACTCTCTCTCTCTCTCTCTCTCTCTCTCTCTCTCTCTCTCTCTCTCTCTCTCTCTCTCTCTCTCTCTCCCCGCTTTAAATTAAAAAAGAAAAGAAAAGAAAAGAAGGAATGCCCTTGCATGGGTCATTGTTTGCAACGTTACAGACCCTTCATTCACATTCAATGGTCAGATCAGCATCGCGGGAAATGCTGCAGGGTAAAGAAGAAGCCCTACACACTGATCCGCGAACGAAGACGACTGCAGATGACCACCAGTCGGCAATCTGGCTGCAAAACAAAAGCCAGCAATCAGATGATCGGAGCGTGTTTTTTCTTACGCGACAGGTGGTCTGCAGTAGGATTTGAACCTACAACAATGAGTTTACCAGTTCCAGTCAATCCAATCTTAGTTAGTCAGCTAGTAAAATTAATTACCAATTGAACATAACAAGGTGTAGTGCAGTCTGGTAGCGCATCTGTTTTGGGTACAGAGGGTCATCGGTTCGAACCCTGTCACCTTGTTCCGGAACAACAAAACTAACTCAAGGGTGGTAACCGTAAGGCAAGGATTTCCCGGCCATTTTTTACGGGTACATAATTTTTCATTAAAACACGAATAGAGCCAAGAGTTCCACCGCTAGGCTTTGTTCGCTGTTTTCTGTTCGCTGATCAGTGTGTACAGTTTATTACCCCTCGGCATTTTTCTTCACGACGAGCTGACCATTGAATGTGAATTGTCTGCACAGATGAGAACGGTTAGCCCACACAAGCGCGCATCCCTGTGCAGTACAAAAAGGCAGCAAAGCCTAAGGCAGGAAAACGGCAGACCTCAACAAGAAAAATTGGCAAACCTACAGCCGCAGGTCCTTCCTGTTGATATAGCCTGTCGACAACAGTCTGAGTTTCCATAAAAAAAGAGGGAAACAAAAGCAGACAAGAATGAGTCAAATAGACACGAGGAGTGACGAGTGAGTGACGAGTGCAGGGCATAGAGCATGGGGTCAGGATTCGTTACACAGCTACTTAGTTGCATTCTTTCAGAGCAGTGCTTTGGGAGCCAAGGCTGAGATTTTCGACTCATGATGTTCAGCGCCGAAACGTTTACCCAGATCCCTTCCCGCGATCTAATGTTGCTTTTTCCAGGAGAGGGCCTTAGAGGGCAGGGCTCAGTTTTAGTCTGTTCAGACTCTTGAGAGAGATGGGGCTCAGATAAATAAATTAAAGAAACAAACGGCCGACGTGACAGGTTTAAGAGTCCGCAAAGGCAAAAAAGAATGCGCGCCAGCAAAGAAAACAACAGGTGGCGACTTTGCAACTGCAATTTGGGTTGAAAAGTATCCGTTGGACATTTTTTTTTTTTTTGTTTCTTTCCCCATCTGAGATCCCCACGTCCTACCCCTGTAAATATGAAACCCGGAAATTGACACCGCAGCCGTCGGGTCCTTTCATTGCTTTTTCGACCTTGGCGCCCGGCGCGCATGTTTTTTTTTGCTTATTCAATACTCAAAAGTGACATGAACGTACTTGCCTCTAAATTAAAATGATTTCTGTGCCTCGGGGCACTGCCAAACTGCCACCGTGCATCGCACCGCAATGCAGCAACTCCCACCTGCTTAAACTGAAGTTCACGCCACACTCTAATCCCCAAGGCCTCTTCACCTTTGACAGAAGTGCAGTCTGTTTTAAGTGAGTCGGTCCACCATTGCGCTCACACACAAAGATTGTCTGCAAGTCACCAACTTCAATAAAATATATCAACTGCGGGCCTGCGGCACATAGGCAGGTAGGGGCAGAGGGGCAAGGGGGGGCATAATCCGCCTGGGCTTCCAAACGGTTGTAACATTTAGTAGGTTGGGGAGAGAGAGAGAGAGAGAGAGAGA